TCTTCCCCATGCTCAGTGCTCCGGCAGGGGGGGTTCAAAGAGCTTCTCCCCAAAAGATTTACTGTCTCCAAGAAGCAGGACAGCGTTGCCAATCAGTTTGACTCTGGGATACATCTCACCTGATTCCTCCGAGGAATCCAGATTTTCCTGCCGTCGCCTGGCCATGAATTGTTGCTACGGTAACTACAATAACCGGGCCCTTAGTACACATTGGGACCATCAGAGGCACCATGAAAATGCCTTGGAACCATTAATTGAGCCTCACGGGTCCCTGGCAAAGCAGAGGAGCATCATTAACCTCCCCTGGGCCTCAGAGACGTTAGCAAATGCACAAGGGAGCGAGTTAGCCTAGGAGCGTGGCTACCGTGCAATTAAAAACCAATGAATGGCCATGGCAGTTGACTTGGCTCATGAGGGTTGGAGTAAGGGACCGTTTCATTGCAGTGCAGATGTTCAGGCTGGGACTGGATTTCAGTTCTGCTCTATTTGGGCCCACATACCCATGTTGGGAGGAGTTGTAGGACTCTGGGTTCTAGGCTCCTGCAGGATGGAAAGCAAGACACGAGGAGTCATTCTTCCACTCTACTCTGTGCTGATTAGGCCTCAGCTGGAATATTGTGCCCAGTTCTGGGCACCGCATTTCAAGAAAGATGGGGAGAAGCTGGAGAAGGTCCAGAGAAGAGCAACGAGAATGATTCAAGGTCTAGAAGACATGACCTGTGAGGGAAGACTGAAAGAACGGGGCTTCTTTCGTTGGGAAAAGAGATGACGGAGAGGGGACAGAATAGCAGTTTTCAAGGACCTAAAAGGGTGTTAACAAGGAGGCAGCAGAAAAAATTGTTCTCCTTGGCCTCTGAGGACAGGACAAGAAGCAATGGGCTTAAACTGCAGCAAGGGAGGTTTAGGTTGGACATTAGGAAAAAGTTCCTGCCTGTCAGGGTGGTGAAACACTGGAATGAATTACCTAGGGGGGTTGTGGAATCTCCATCTGTGGAGCTATTTAAGGGTAGGTTAGATAAATGTCTATCAGGGATGGTCTAGACGGTGCTCGGTCCTGCCATAAGGGCAGGGGGCTGGAGTCGATGACTCTCGAGGTCCCTTCCAGTCCTAGTGTTCTATGATTCTATGAAGGAAAGCTGCGACGCTTGCCACAGCCCTGCCCATCACTCCCGCGCTCGCCTCGGTCAGCAGCTTTTCCATTCATTCATTCATTCATTAATTTTTTTTTTTTTTAAGAACATTTTGTCCTTCTCTTTGGAACAAACCCGACCCTGGGAACCGGATCCATGGCTCCACTGATGAATGAGGTCCTTACAGCCTTGGAAAAGGCTCACACACACAGTGCCATCTGATGAATGGGGCCACTTTCTTTCTCTCTGATGCGTACGCCCGGAGCCCCTCGGGCTCTCAGTCACACACGCGCCAATCACAGGGGGAAGTTAAACCCGCTTTGGATGCTAACGCAGCCCAGCACTCACCTTAGGCTCCGAGGAGACGATGATACGGTGGAGGACCTCCCCAGTTCACACCCTTGCATAATAATTAGTTTTAATTATCAGTCACCGAACCAGGGCACAAGGAAGCAAACCCAACTTCTAGGCTAACTCCCGTCTCCCATCCAAACCAAAACACCTGCCCAGGGGAGGACGTGGCTCAGGCAAACAACGGGTACGGGCTGCTTAACAGACAACCAGCGACGTGGAGGGGGACAGATGGGACAGCGGCAGCATCCCAAACTCGCGCCGCCCAGCTCACGCTGCAGCACCGAACCAGAGGCCACAGGGCCTGAGCATGGACGAAAGCATTTACAGCTCAAGGGGACGGGACGGTTGCCTCTGGAACGGCCTTTGATATTTCGACGCCAGGCTACACCATCAAAAGCAACAGGCTCTGCAAACATTCCTGGCTAACTTCAGTTAGGGAACAGACGTCTCACTGTGGGATCTGCTTTACAAGTCCGTGCCGCCAGTGACGAAATAACCAACGCTAGAGGAAAGTGTCAGTGCTAATAAGCTTCAGAGGGGTTGGTCATCTTCCTTTCCACGTGCAAACTAATGGTTCTTATCAGCCTCTTGTAACTAGTTAGTCTTTGGGATGCTACTAGACCCGTGGTCACCAACCAGTAGATCGCGATCTACCGGTAGATCTCGGAGGCTCTAAGAGTAGCTCTTGAGCCCTCTCTGAACTGTGCGCCTGTGCAGTACATTTACATTAGATTTCCTCATTTGAGGAGCAGCTACTCACCGAGCAACAGCACAGGTGAGGAGCTGCGAGGAATGGTGGGAATTTTTTTTTTTAAAGTAGCAGTATAAGGATTGGGGATAGCAAGTGATGGAAAAGAGGAGAACAGAGAGGGCGGGGCGGTAGATCTTGGCTTGGTCTGTCATTTAAAAAGTGATCTTGGGTGTAAAAAGGTTGGAGACCACTGTACTAGACTCTTTGTTGTTTTTTAAGTGCTAACAAGGTGACATTTAACTGACCAACAGCCTCGCAGATGTGACGGCCCCCAGGGGAGTAACGAGATCAGCGCGAGGCCTGGTGTGAGAGATGCCATGCATTCAGCGGGACGAGACAGAAATGATTCTGGGGCGCTCTGACACGAGCTTGGATCATGCTGAGGTTCCCAGTTTCTGAGAGCTGGAGGGCGCCGTTTGGGGGCGTGCCACTTCCCCCTCAGCCACAGGGGCCGGCTGGAACCACTCAGACCAAACGGGCTCTCATCCGAACGTCCCAATTCACTGCAGTCAGAACCAGCAATGGAGACCGTTTGATTGACGCAGTCCCTCAGGGAGCCAGGCAGGATCCCGGGGGACCCCATCCTGCTCCACCCTGCAGCTTTTGAAAACCAACCGGAGTCCTCCGTCTGGCTCATCAGCAACCTGCCTGGAACCTGGATTCCAGCACGTTAGGGACCCCCAGCTTCCAGGCCCTGCAGCCCCAGGCCAACCAGAGCGCTCCAGAGTCATTTCTGGGCTCGCCAGTCGCAGGTGCCAGGCTGTCTCTCTCCCCGAGAATTTTCAGCGGTTTTGCTTTCATTCCTAATCGACACGAAAGCAAACGTGACCGATCGCAACCCTCCATGAAATGGAACGGCCCCTCACCGCGCTGTTCTCGGCCTTGAAATGGGCAAGGAACTCGGGGGGCTCTGCTCCGTTACGTCCCGAGTGGGGTGCGATGTCTCAGATCAGAAAGCCAGATTCTTTCAGGCACGTCTGATCGTCAGGCAAAGAGCGTGCCAGGTGGCGGGATCAATCAGCTCCCCGGGGAGCAGAGAAAACTGTCTGGGGCGCAGGGCAGGGAGAGCATCGCCCCTTTGTCCCTTGCCACAAAGCCAGGCCCCATCTTGCCTTTGGTCTTGGCAAGAGGGAAATGCCTGCAGAGCATTCAGGGAGGAGTCAGGCTCCGGGATGCTGAGGCTTGTTACTACCCCGGGGCCTGGAGCAGGAGTGCTGCTCTGCACAGCTCCGAGGGCTGGGAGGGAGGCCAGCGCTGTGGTCCAGGTGGCGCGAAGGGCTTACTGCCCTATGCCCCGCCCCTTCCACCCTTGGCCCCTCCCACCTTGCTCCAAGGTCAAGGGTGCCGTTTTGGGAGAGCCGGGCAGGGGGCAGCAGCCGTGTGTACCGGGGGTGGCTTGCTTTTCATCCCACTCCACTTGGCTCCTGTGCCCGGCGTGACACCCAATCCGGACTCTGCCCTCGCTCCCACCGCTGGCTCTGCTTCTCGCCCCGGGTTGACGGCCCAAAACGATTCCGCAAGGAGCAAGGAAGGAGTCAGCCCCCGTCTTTTCCTGGCGACAAAGCTCAAGCCCCCTTCATTCCCAACGCTCACCCCTGGCCTTCCTCTATCTACGGAACATCGAATGCAGCCACGTCCCACAACACTCACACCATCCTCTTAGCATCCTTCTCCCACTCTGGGTTTCGTGTCGTCTCCGTGTGGCTCTTGACCATCGGGAAACACCTCCCTCTTCTCATTTGCCCAACCATCTCCCTCCTCCGCCAAGAAGCCAGCACTTCTCCCAGCCCCAAGGTTCCCTTCCCTCAGCAACACCACACGCAGGGTCTTTGCAGCCACCCAATGCGCTGCGTCTGAGCTGTTTTGTCTGTGCCCGGTTTCCATCAGACCCTCCCACTTCCCCAGGTAGGCACCAACATCTATCCACGTGTTCGTAAAGCGCCGAACACGCACTCGGCACTTCACCACGACAAAGACGACGGAGAGGAGCCACGTTTTGCCTTCAGCTGGGCAGCTCAGAACGAGTCTGAGGAAACACCGCTTCACATAAAGGCCAGTCACAACCTGTGGAACTCACCGCTGCAGGAGACCAGTCGTATCCAGCAACCCTTTCCGCTTACACAAAAGCTTCTGCATGCTGCTGGCTGTAAGGCAATCACTGCAAGGGCCAGGATCATTCCCCATCACTCGTACAGAAGAGTGCCACTGTCTAGCTGCATTTTCGGGAGGCTTTCAGCTTGTCCAGGAGCACTGGCTGTTGCCAGAAGCTGAATAGCAGACTGGGAGGACCAAGAGCAACTCCTATGGCTCCTACTGTTTTAACTTTGTTTTACATTTAACACCAACAATGTGCAAGAAAACTAGGTGCTCCAAAGACACACGAACAGAACAAGAGGCCAGGAACCCCAATGAGCCTTGTTTCAAGGAAAGGCCATTGCGGGGAAGTGAGGTTTATCTGCAAGGTAGCAGACAGCAACCCTCCCAGCCTGGGAAGACGGAGCTGCCCTGGCTCCACTCCAGCCGGGGTGCTAAAACCAGTGCGGCTGTTCTGGCCCCAGCAGCGACTCGAACTTGCTGCCTGAGCTGGCACCCACGGGATTAGACGGGCTTGGGCGACCGGCCCGCCAGCGCCGCCACGTCCATGCTGCTCCTCGTAGCGCACTCGCTGGAGCAGAGCCAGCACGAGCCTGGCCGCCGGCGCCCGGAGCCACGCGCTCAGCGGCCGTGCAGACGCGCCCCAAGAGACGGCCGCTCTGGAGACGCACCTTGCGCTTCGTAGCCCGCGGGACGAAGGGTGGCAGCCCCCTCCTCCTCGTCGAGTCTCAGGCCCAGGGCTGACTTCAGCTGGGCCACGTTCCTGTGCGCCGTCAGCTCCCCGTTCCGATCCCCGATCTGCAAAGCAAAGACCAAGACGGGGGCTGTTGGAAGGGCAGCCTGCCAGGGGCCGGTGTCCTCGGTGCACAGTCAGGAAGCCCCGGCAGACCCAGGCAAGGCTGCACGATGGAGGCAGATGGGAGACACCGTCTGCTGCCATTCCGCATTGTGGGACAGACGCTGGAGGCCAACGTAAGTAACACAGCATCCGCTGCAGCATGTTGCCTGTGACTCAAAGCCCCTCGGGGAGGTGGTGTCACTGCATCACCTTAACCAGGATTTACCCAAGTGCAGCCTCCTGCCTACCGGCTCAGTGCAAGGCAGATTATACCGACCCAACCTGACCGTGTACAGCAGGGCTGAGCAGCTGAATGGACAGCGCCGCGCGCGCACACCCAGGATACGCCGGGCTCAGTACTAAACCAGCGTTGGGTGCGCTGGGAGAACCCCGTTCCGGAGCAGCTCCTTGGGTGTTACGTTCCCCCGAGGGAGATCCCAAGACAAGCTGCCCGAAAGGTCTGTTCTGAAAGCTAATGACATGCCGGTGAGTAATATCCTTGTGACCTGGCCGTGTTAACCCTACATGAAGGAACGGGGATACTCTGGGACATTGTGCTTTAACAGCTGGAGCCAAGCAGCGAGAAACAGGATTCTGGCAACTGTCTCTGAGGTAAATTAAGCAGGGGGGGAATCAGAACAATCAAAACATTTACACGGGAATGGGAAGCCCTCGGGAAGGGAGAAACAGGCTTACAGCATCCTGCCGACCGAAACCAAGTCACTACATTTAGGAATATCTAAACAAGGACCAAAGCCATCTTTGGCTTCCGCCACTAGACAACCAACGGGAACAGAGCTCTTGCAAGCTGAGAACGGTGGGTCCTTTAACCCAGGGGACCCGCATAGAAGCACAGAGCTGGAAGAGACCTCAGAAGGTCATCAAGTCCAGCCCCCTGCCCAAGGCAGGACCAATCCCAATTAAATGGGGATTTAATTGAGCATGTGGGTGAGAAACCTGCTCAGGGAAAGCTCTTTCACCTGGGCAAATAAAGAGAAACCAGGCCCGTACACTTCTGTGGAAGGCCCTGACTGAGAACAAGTCGGCCATGGCTGGGAAGAGGAGAGACCGGCGAGAGAAACCAGCTGGAACAAAGCCTGCGCCTTGATAGATTAAGTGTTAGAGGCAGGTTTTCACTTGTATTTGCTTGTTACGCTCTCTAACGCTATTCCCCTTACGTGGCACCATCTCCTTATGCCGTTAATACATTTATTAGTTAATAAACGGTGATGTGCTTCTGTCTCTAGAAAGGAACAAACACACCGTAGTATTTCTCCGAACCAGGACAGGCTAGGCATTAGGGATAGAAAATCCTGTTTAAAATATTAACTAGTTAAACTGTGTGTTTCACTAGTTAACTGACTGCCGCCTTGCGCTGGACGGAGGCTCACAGGAATCCGTGGCATAGTGGGGCCGGGCACCGGTTAGCCAGCTACCCCATTTCATCCCGACTAGACATTGCAGAGAACATGGTGTGGGGGAAATTCTGGACTGGGTGCGTCTGGGGATCTCCTGGCTGGTGGAAGTTCCTGTGGGGCTGTGGACAAGCTATTAGGAGAGAACCGGAGTGGGCACAACCTGCAGCTCTCTTGTGCCCTTGGTCCCCATAAGCTAGACGCGAGGACATGGTGTACCGAGAAAGTATTGGACCTTGCTTAGGCAGACAAAACCATCGGCACAGCTGCAGCGTTACTCATGCTGCTCTGGGTGCCTGGCTTTGTAAGTTGCTTGCTCCAGCTGCTTTGCTGATATGTAAAAATTGCGAGTTTCTTGCTGTTGCAAGAGAACTTGTTACTCGGAGTTACGCTTTGCGCTGAGTTACGGAGAGAGCGCATCCTTTGGAGACGTCCGGATCTGCGACCAAGCTCCAAGCACTAGCGAGAAGGGTGCTCACTGGAATCCCACTGCTGACACCACCTCTGACGTGGGGTAACGATCCCTGGGGTGCTCTGGACAAGGGCGATTTTTGATGGGTGCTCGGTGCTCACTAAAAACGAGGACGTTTGAGTGGAAGCAGTCTTGTGTTAACCGATCATTGATCGGACGGAGCTCCTGGGTCTTCCTCCACCCCCACCCCCACCCCAATTTATTTCCTAACACTGCCTGGAAAACAAAGATTAGTAACCGGAGCTCTGGGTTCAGAGCACCCTGGGTAGGACTTGGTGCACCAGGGCTGCTTAGCGCACAGATACTCAAGACCAGCATGCTTGTAGGCTGGGGGTGAGCATCCCAGGATGGGAGCTACAGCAGCAAAGAATTATCGGGCATGCAGGGTTGCAGGGCAAGTCCTGGCACAACCCCTTAGCAGGGATGCAAACACGTAACCTTACCGGGTGATGTTTACTAGTAGCCAGTTCACCGGTGCCTGGGAACAGCTCTCGCACAGAGCACTCTGCTGTGGGCCAGGGCCAGGAGCCCCTCTGGGCTGGCAGCCGAGGGCCGGCAGCCCCATGGGGTCAGGAGCTGGCAAATCCAAGAGGTCGGGAGCTGTGGCAGTTGGGAACTGGCAGCCCCGTGGACCCAGGAGCTGGCAGGGCCAGGAGCTGGTAGCTCCGAGGGGTCAGCAGCCAGCCAGGAGCCGGTGGGAGTCCACTGGCTGGGAGCTGCTCTAGCTGGGCTGGGAATCCCGCTTAATGAGTTAACCAGTTAAACGGGATTTTATGTCCCTGCCCCTTATAGGTCTGAATCATACCCTGAACCCCCATGTCAATCGAAATCCAAACTAGTCCATCAATCGGCAGTGCACAATCATGCTGGGGGGGGGGGTATCATTTATCATTTTATAACTGCTGAGATCTCTTTCAAAAGCCCAGCTCCACTGCACTGAACAACAAAAGAGATGAACTAGCTAAAAGGATCCTACAGAGTTTCCCCGAATATGGGAACTAACTAGCCAGGAGTCACGGACACAGAAAGGTCATTTGGAAGCAGCCTCTACTTTCTATGGCCATAGCTGTGTCTTTTAGAAAGGACATCTTGGTCCTCCGGAGTAGAACACAACCCCTTAGTCAATGCCGCACTGTGGCGTATTTTGTGGCCACGTGAGAGTCCCCGTGGTTTGCGCCATCCAGTTACACCAGTTTTGTGGTTGAGATGCTTTCCAGAGAATTTACCCGGGTCAGGTTGGGTTCTCAAGTCCTGGACACACCCTGTGAAATGCGTAGCTCATTCCCACTTGTTTCAGATGACCTTAAAGAAACAATTCCTATCAGAGACTTTCTGGCAGCTGATTGCTTGCAGGCATCCATCAAAACACATAGATCTTGAAGGGGGAATATGAGGACAGAGATTTCTGTCCTAATCCTGGCTCTCCAATTTCCACAGAGGTGCCAACCTGCTGTCCACACGCCAATGGAAAGGCGTTCCCGGATGGGCCGTGGTCTTTTTTTATTTATTTATTTACATCCCTTGCTCTGTCTATCTTGGAGCAATTTATGCTCCTAATCTGGCTCCTTGCTCACTAAAAGCAGACGAATGCTGGAAATTCGTGTGCACCCTCCCCTTGCATCCCTGAAATGGATGTGATTTCTCAGCACCGCTCCATATTTAGTGCCACGAGGGAGTTTATTAGCCACCTGCCATGAGTAAGCCCCTTCCGACGCTGCCCTGTAATCAAAGCCATCAACCCACAAAGAGCACAGCATTGTAAATCCTCAAAGGCTTCCCCTCACCACTCCCAGGAGCAGTGAAGGCTGCTATTGTGTCTGTCCTCCCATCCCTGTTCATCTACAGTGCCAACAGCTGAGCCTCCATCTGGCTGTGAGTAATCAGCGCCACGCTGGAAGACTCCAACCCAACGCCGAAAAGTCAATTTGTTCTGAAACGTACAGGGCCAACGAGCAGCGGTTCTTCTGAATGGCTGACAAGTATAATTAAGCGTATAATTAAGCTGGTGTGTTAGCCCTACCCCAAGATTTAGCCACGCTAACAGAGACAGGAGAATGCACAAAGCACGTATAAATGGTGGTTTCAATTAATGCTTCCAAAGGGCAACTTCGTCAAAGCGTTAAAGGGACCGACGCCGATTTCTTCCTACCGGGTTGCTCAAGGTGAACAACAAAGCCCTTTTGCAGTTCAGATCCCAAAGCCGCCAAAAACTTTTCAGGCCTCATCTGTTTCAGAAAAGTTGCCTCCATAGAATGAGATCACTGGACACCGGGCTGGTTACACCAGTGCAAAACCCTGATGGAGACACAAGGAACTTGGCTTTGCCTTTGCTTCTATTGATTGAGGCCAAACCACATGCAGCTGTAGAGCCAAGTGGGTGAAACTTGACTGCTGCCATTTGTGGGATCAGCCCTGGGTGCAATGTTTGCGGACAGAGGAAAGTGTTTTCTGTGGTAATTAGGGTAGCTTTGGCTACCACGGGATTAGCAGCTGCCTTGTGCTGATGGCTTTGGCTATCTGGGCCCCAAGAGGTATAGACACAACTCCACACCATTTTAGAGTTGCAGACAATCTCTTTCAGCCGTTTCCTTGGCAGCGGTTTGAACCTCTCGAGGGGAGAGCAGCCAACGCCATCCTTAAGAGACGGGCAAGGCGCGTCTGGCTGTGGTCCCGAAATGCAGACCAAGGCCTGACTTGCTTCTCTGTTCACAAACCTCTCTGGAAGTCTCAGGACAGCTTGCTTTGGAGGGACTTTCCAGTACTTCTAAGCCAGAAATCTGGTGAGAAGAGCCACATTGGGGCTATTCTGGCTCTTCCACTTTGAACCTAGAAGCACCCAAGCAAGAGCAAAACAACCAAGACCGGGAGGAGAAAGGCAACCTAATGTCTTAAAAATGGTTTGGTTGTCGAATAGCACACTGCGCCAGAGGAGGACGGCTCTTACTTCCCCCCATCTTTATTAGGAAACTTTCCCAGCCTCCTTCTCCATCATGTTCCCGAGAGTGCTGCCAGGAGCTGCCAGCCCTGGTAAGACAGCGTGTGGCATCCACAGAGTAAAGCCATCACCCATCTCTTCAGACCCTTGATTCCCTACAAACCAGGACTGGGCTCTGAGTCAGCTACCCGCTCCCTGAGTTCAACCAACATCACCCAGCCCTGGGCTCAAACACGGGGGTTCTCCGAACTCGGTGGTTCCCAACCTTGTTTATAGCGCAGACCAGCAAAGCCAGTCACAAACTTTGGGCGCACCTGTAACAGTTTATTTGCATAAACATTATGCCAATAATGAATATGCAAATATGCCCATGAAATGTTACCGGTGCACCAAAAGCCCCGGCTCCCAGCGCCGCTGTTCTCAGCTGCCAGCCCAGAGGGACTGCAGGCTCCTGGCCCCTAAGAACCATGCTGACGGAGCCATTCGCAAACCAGGGTGGAGTAATCCAGGCACCGTAGTGATATTAGCAACAATTAAGACAGAACCCGGGGGTCTCCCTGGATGGGAGTTTTCCAGGCTAGGTTTGCAATTCCCAAAGATGCCACATAAAAACAGACTTTCTAGACTTGGAGAGGAACCTTCTCAGCCTTGCTCCCAACAGGGAGATGTGGTTCACCCTGATCATCTTACCTCTTGGGAGATTTCAAGATGCTTCCTTGCAAAACGCAGGGCTTGGTCATGGTTCCCGAGGGAGACATAGGCATTTCCTAGGCTCCAGCAGGCTCTTCCTTCTCCCACCCTGCAAAACAGGAAACCGCCATCCATCGGCATTCTGGGAGACGCAGCAAAAACCAGCCATTGCAGGACCTGGCCCGTTCTGGCTTCTCCTTGGAAGCATCAAAGACGCTGTTTCCATGCTGATTTCTGTGCCCACTTTTACACACAGAATCAAGCCTAAGGGCGAAATCCTGGTTCCACTAAACTGAATGCCAAAGTGTCCCTGGCTATCAATAGGGTTTCACTCCGGATCTCTGAGCGGCGGCATGCTTACACGCCAAGCGAGCGAGATGGTTGTGCGGCGCGAGGGCACACATCCTTTTTATAAAAGCTACCAGCTGGGACAGCTGAAGGGAGCAGAGGGACTACAGAATAACTGGCCCTAGACATTAAAAAGACAGGCCCAGTGTCAATCAGCGCGGCCGATTAACCGCAACAGAGCCGCAATGATTTACCCAAGCGGGGATCTGACCCACGAGGCTGCAGTCTCAACGGTCAGGCGGGGGGGTTATGTTAAGGTCCGTGTGGATAAAACGGCCTTGTGAGAATTCCTGCCTTCTAAATACCGTGTTTAATCGCTCAAAAATAGTCTTCTTTATTTTTATCCCAGGTCACCACTGAGCAGCGTGTGAACAACTCAATCCATCTCCCCCCTTGCCGGACACTCCCTCATCTTGGGGCGAGCCTCTGCTTCCACGGCATTCCCACCCTCCTGGGGAGCAGACGGGTGGGAAACCGGCAATCGCTCCGGGGGTCCCCCGGGAAGAAGAGCACAGCCGAGCCGACATCCTCTTCCGAACACAACCAGATGTGAAGCGGGCGGTTGTCACTGAACTCTCCCCCTGCTGCCCGGTGGATCTAAACCCCATCGCTGCACGCACACGTTCCCACGGCAACAGCGACTGGGCATCCAAGTGCGGCCCCGTTCGCTTCCAGCCCAAAGAGGAAGGCGCAGGAACGCAGCATGGAGCACGCACAGCAACAAGGCAGCCTGCCCACGGCACTGGTGTTTCGGTGGCTGGCTCCACGGGCCGGAAATAACCTCAGGCAACGTCTCCTCAGACCACGGTGCAGCTTTTCAGTGTCCACCCCTCCCCCCTCACTTCAGGCATGAAGCTGAGAAAGCAGGCGAGTTTAATTTCACACCCTGAGGGCCAACCGACTGTCCGAGCAGCAGGGGAAGGCCTCTCTGCACTGAGAATGCCCCATCTCCTGCCCGCACTCGTGAGCTGGGGCGTGCAAGACAGTCGGCTAGCACTCAGCCTATGTCTACACTAGAGGGGTTTTGCGCAAAAACCCGTGGAGCGTCCACACCTCAAGCGCGTTTTAGCGCAAGCAAATTTACAGTAAATCCAAAGCGCAGAGGGGTTTTTACGGTGTAGGTATTCCTCTTTCCACGAGGAATAACTCCATTTCGTGTAAGAGTTATTGAACAAAAAGGTGTGTGTGTGCAGTGGGGCAAAAAGAGCCTATCCGAAAAAGCACAGGTGCTCTGGTGGCTGTTCTGTGAGTAGCCATCAGAGCGTTCTTTCGAGAGCGCGCCCACGCAGCCTGGACGCGCTCATGCACTTTTGCAGTGTGGACGCGCTCTTGCACAAGTAGTTTTTGCGGAAGATCTCTTGCACAAAAAGCTTCTTGTGCAAGAAACCTGCAGTGTAGACGTAGCCTCAGCGAGCCCAATGGTCCAAGTAGTAAGAGGACAAGTGTCTCTTACCCTGACACTGGACCCCATAGTATTCAAGGGGTGCCGGCAGGAGGATCTGTGGCGCCCCCCTAAGTCTGTTCATGAGGAAGCTGGGTCACGAGGTTTCTAATTTTCAGCAGGTTTTTTTTTAAGGCGATGGCTCACTTTATGGTTAAATTTTGTCCCCCAGCTCCCAATACCTCGGAAGCAACCCCTCTGTGCTCTGCACTCCTCAGGGCCAGCTCCCGGGGGGCGGGGAGAGCTTCCAGCTCACCAGCCTCCCCTGAACACTGCTCCCAGCCCCCCACGGGAGCTCAGGGAGTTTGATAAAAGCCTGCTCTATGTTTTGCTCCTGTGCTGCCTTCTTAGTCGCCTTGGCCTAAAAGCAGGAGATGCCAACCAGCGTGATGGACTCCCAAGGGCGGGACGCCCCAGGCTCCGGACAGGCATCTCGCGCAACGGGGCTTCTATCAGGCAGCGAGAGCCCCAAAAGCCGCCCGCTGTCTCCTGCGCAATGTCCATGCTCCATCTAGTGGCAGGAGGGGGCAGGGAGGCGGGGGGGATTTTCAGAGCGGGAATGCTGCAAGCCACGGAACAAAGCTGCAAAGCCGGGCGGTGGTGAAAGCCGGGCGCTCGCTCGCGGCGATTCCTGCAAGCCGGAGGTCGCTGCTGCCTCCCCAGCGTGTGGCTGGGGGCTGGCGTGTCCCAAAGGGTCTTTAGAAATTGCTCTGTAGGGGGTCCGCGAGTGGAATTTCCACAGCACCATTAGCCAGGAAGGCCTGTTTGAAATCCCCCCCACTCCGGTCTCAGAGCGCCAGGCTGTCCTTCTGGGTAGGCCTGGCCCGTCTCACTTTCACGGAGCACTGGAAATGACCCACAGAATGGCCACACTGCAGACCTGGCCTGCGACAGGCCTCCCATGTCCCTCACACCCCTTTCAAGAGCTTGGCCTAGTCCACCCCGAGAGGCCTCCCTGTCAGATGACCCAAGTGACAGGGTTTCCCCTTGGGGGGACGCTGTTCCCTCTAAGGACGCTCACTCATTAGACTTCCTGTTAGAGAGACTCCGACCCCGCACCACGGCGTCTCACTCAACTCCAGAGACGTTCCCGGCAGACCGTGCCTGGGAACAGTCCCTGGTTCGCTCCCCGTTCTGGTCTTCTCGGGCGTAGCTCTTGCCATCCTCGGCTCTCCCAGAGCCCTGCAAACAGTCTCGCCACCCCCCCACCCGCCCGTGAGGAGGGCCTCCCTAGGCCTGTTGTGCCCATGAGGGAACTGAGGCAGAGCAAGGCGCAGGGACGGTGCATGGAACAGATCCCAATTTCCCGCTTTACTACTCCATCCTCCTAGGTATTCGCAGCCAGAGATTAAAGGGGGCACGTCTTGGGCCTGATTTTCAGAAGGTGCCGAGCATCTGCAGCGCCCGTTGACTTCATCTGGGGGGCGGGCGCTCAGCACCCAGAAAAAAGAGGCCCTCAGTGGGCGTGTCAAGCTGGACACCCACAAAGCCAGGCACTGTCTGTTCTCTGGGTGCTCCGACCACTCCGGCTAACGGCACAGCAGATCCTTCGTCTCCCCCCGCTGGACCCTTCCATCTCCATCTCGCAAAGCTCGTTTCCTTCAGACGTCGCCCCCACCCCCGGCTCCTTCCCTGGAACCTTCCGCACTGTCTGGAGCCAGATACCCAGCTGGTGCCGGCTCCTTTAGGTCATTCGCAGAGATCCTGAGCAAGCGGGCTGAAAATTCAGCTAGGGGCCAGCAAGAGACTCGAGACCCAGTGTAGAAAAGCTGAGGAGACAGGAAAACTTCCCACACGGGGAGGCAGATGCAGAAACGGGCTCATCATCATTTATCTAGGAGGCAAAATGCATTTCCCTCATGGAGCCGGGAAACGCCATTGGTTCTCAGATGCCATTTGGGATCACTTCCGTGTGGTACGTTATTGTGTCTCCTCCGAGCTTCCCTTACCAGAGACACAGAGCGGTGGGGCTTCCGGACTCATTCACTGCTCACTTTGTTCCTTAGAGAGAAGCGATTTTTACATCCCGGGGGTGGCTGGGATAAACAGGAGTAGCGGCAGGGGGAGAGGGCTGTTAGGAATTCTCACCGGAGAACTGATATCCCCCCCATTGTAGGAGCTGGACCATAGGAAAGGTTTATGAGTCTGCTACTCTTGCCAGGCTAAAGGTCTTAGTCCTATAGCTCTAGCGGCTCAGGCGTCTAGTGAGACACACGCCAGGCCATTACACTCCCGAGGGTCAGAGGCAGCCCCAAATCTCTCACCTGTCCCCCAGCTCCTGCGCTATCAGCAGGTGCTTGAGATGGTACTCGATGGCTCTCTCGTAGTCCTGGAGCAAGGTGTACGTGTTTCCCAGGCTGTAGCAAGCCTGAGCTTCGACCGCTTGGTCTTTCAGTTGTCTGGACAGCTGGAGCGTTTTCCTGCAATCAGAAGGAGACGCGGGCATGGTCACGCCCAGCAGGCTGAGAGTGCAGTGCCGGCTTGGATGGAGAAGTGCGTTAAAAAGAGCCATATAGTCACCGCTGGGGGCGTGCGGTGGGGCTCACTGCTCGGTCACAGCTGGCACGGACGTCTACCAAAGCTGGAAATTTTCCCTCCCACGCTAGCGTGGAAATCCCAAAGACCTGCTGTTGGCCACCCCCAGCGCCCCAACCCCAGGCTGTAGCTCCACTAGATTCAGTGCTGTGCAGCAGGGCGAATTTAATCCCAGTGCATCCATCAATTCAGCTGTGCTCCGCCAAGCATAACCAGCCGAGATAAGTTCTGGGTATGCGAAGGCCTGCAACAATGCTGGAGGGTTGGTCACTCTTGCTGTTAGCTAGTGGGCTGGCCCTGCTTTTTTGGGAAGCAGCCGCCTAGGGCACAGCCTTTCCAGTACCAGCACGGCAGAGAGCTGCTGTGGAGAATCTGGGAAGTTGGACTATTGTAACCCTCACACCTAGTGTGGGTCACTGTGCCATATAGACAGTGGCACTTGGACCACTTACAGCGAGAGATAAGAACATGAGAGCTCTACAGCCTAAGCTGGGAGCCAGCTGGCTTTATCATTCATGCTGCAGAGGCTCCTACACTAAGCTCCAGAGTCCCAGGTTCAAATCCGCCCAGTGCAGGGTTACAGTATTTCTCAACCAGTGGTACAAGTACCCTTAGGGGTACTCAAGTGAAGTCTGGAGGGCATGTCAGCACAACTGAAATTTGGAGAAAACTGAATTTTTGCAGTGTTGCATTATTTTTGTACTTTTTACACCCAAAAATTTCATCGCCTGCCGGGCTATGAGTAAGTTGTTTAAACAAATGTGTTGCAATGGTAGATAAAAAATTGTGTGTCTGAAAACTTTTTTTATTTAAAGGGGTACTTTATATATATTAAAAAAAAAAGGTTGAGAAACACTGCACTGTAACACCACACGACTTTAATCGGTAGAAGTGATGCAAGTGGCCAGCAGGTGGCGAGAGGACGCACATCTCAATGGGGAGCCAAGCTCCGGCAGAAGACAGACAAAACAAGACACTGCCTCAGACTTGCTCCAGTCCCCCGCAGGTGGCTGACGTCCCGTCTGAAACCCCTGGACTCATGACACAGACCAGGGCTCCCGGGGGGAAAGCCTCGCCCAGCCGGGCGGCACTGAGCATTCTGCAAAGGCCGGGAGCCCGGCTTCGGCGTCCCCCCAGCACTCACTTGTAGTACTCCGCCGAGATGTCAAACCTGCCCAGGAAGATGTGCGCGTTGCCCAGGTTGCTGTAGGCCCTCCTCTCGGCCGCTCTGTCCCCAAACTCCTTGCAGGGACAGCACGGCCTGGGGCCAGCCCTTGCGCTAGGGATGTTAATGGGTGATGCTCACCAGGTAACAGTTAACCAATACCCGGAGGGCTTCTCCAGCCCCACCAGGGCCCCTCATGGGGCTTCCGGCTCCCAGCCCACGTGGGGCTGCTACTTCTGGCTCCATGAGGGCTGGGCGCCAGCAGCCCCACACAGGGCAAGAAGCAGCCAGGCTAGAACAGCACCTACCCGTCCAGGGAGGGGGCGGGGGGGGGAAGGGAAGAGTGGCCTCCCTCCCCTCCATTTAATCAGTTAACTGGTGTAACGGATTAACTAATTAAACAAGATTTTAACCCCTACCGCACGCAGCCCCGTTGGGCTTCGGGGCTAGGCTGGGCGCCAGCAGCCCCACACAGGGCAAGAAGCAGCCAGGCTAGAACAGCACCTACCCGTCCAGGGAGGGGGCGGGGGGGGGAAGGGAAGAGTGGCCTCCCTCCCCTCCATTTAATCAGTTAACTGGTGTAACGGATTAACTAATTAAACAAGATTTTAACCCCTACCGCACGCAGCCCCGTTGGGCTTCGGGGCTAGAGGCGATCGTATCGGTCAGCGGAAGGGGGGGCCCAACCGAGCTGGGAAGCGACACGCTTGACACTCAGCTGTAACGCCCAGGAGCTCGGGACCGTGGGCGCAGAGCAAATCCCCCCCATGTCCCCTGACTGTGTCTCTGTCTCCCCACCCTGCACCTCGCCCTCCCTTCCCCGACCCTGCCAGCCCTCCCCGGGCAGCCAGCCGGCACACTGCAAACTCCCGGCTCCACCAGGCTCACCTCGGAACCCAGCCGGCTGGCCCCGGGCCTCTGGGGCAGACCACCTGGTTACTTATCCCACCCCACAGACACCCCCGCGCAGCTCAAACCAGCCCGCGAGACAACCCCGCTAATGCGCCCCCGGCTGACGCAGAGCAGCAGTGCACAGCAGTTGGCCTGGGCCAGTCCTGTGTGGGTCGGGTTACTCTTCGATCGGGAAAGCCTGGCCCCATTGCACCTCTGACCACGCTCCTTCCTGGAGGAAGGGCGTCCCAGCGAAGACGGCGCCCGAGCGCATTGGCGCAGGGCCCA